CCATTTGTCGGGTCACTGAAGTCGACATCTACAACTGACATACCACACAGCTGCACAATTAACTTCTCGAACATCGAGGGCCAGTATGTCATAGGGTTAGCTACTGTGATTCCTTGCGATCTTGCTACAGCTCGAAAAGTGCAAAAACGCATAATCACACCAGCCCGCCTGTTGCGCTCCAGCCTGAGTAGCATTTGCAAACTATGCAAAAGCGCGTAAAAAAAGCACTCCATGCTGCTTTTGCAGTAAGTGCACAAAGCAGTGCATACTCCCTGTGCAATGAGTGTGTTTCAGGTCGGCCGAAATACAGCTCGTCAACACACGCAGCCGCTGCGTCTTGCTCCAATGTCACGCTCCCATATTCGACATCAGCAGCAGCGGCACATGCAGCCTCGCAAGCGCCGTCTTGTTCAGGTTCAGGCTTAAATGGTGCTGCCAATGCAACACCTTCTTCCTCAGCTTCGGGAACTCAGCAGGTGTCGCCATCTATCTCGCCCTCCGCATCTGCACGAAATTATAGCCAAAGGCCTGGCCTGCGAAGGTGTACTCGAGTGCAGGATACCTTAAAACAGGAGGTTTGCATTTTGCATGTGTCTTAAAACGATTAGATTACTGGCTATAATAATGTATTCAGCTTTGGTTATGGAAGGCTCTCGGTTTTGGTGACCCTCCAAAAAACCCTCTTGGCGCTTACCAAATAAACAATGTACATCCTAGTAGTGGAATTCATCCGTGCTTTTGTTTCTTCCCATCGCCCTTTTGCCAAGTTCACCTCCCCGTCCCCTCCATCCTTTCCCTCGCCTTCTCTTCTTCTTTTGCTCCCCTCATCAAATGTGCCAGCTTTTTTGTTTCAGAGCTGAAAAATTCTGACTTTCAAATTTAATATTCCAATGTCCATTTCCTGCTTCTTGTTGCAGTTTGACATTTTTTAGCTGATTTTCTTGTCCTTCGTACCAAAATTTCGCTAAAATTTTGCGCTGTATTAGTGAAATTTGCGCCTACTCAGACTAATATTCATGGCTTCGTGGAAGAAATTTCTGTTTTTTCAATTCTTCGTCTTTTTCGCTGACAAAAATGGTTTTTACATTACCTTATTGCCGCAAATCCCCTTTTTTGCCCCGTTCGGCATCATTAAATAAAAATGCTCGGAAGACAGACAGGAAAGAATTGAATATACAGTTCGGGTTAAGGTTTACGGAATCCTATAAATTTTTTGGACTTCTCTATATTCTTACTCCCCTTATAATCCCTCAAATTTTATCTACATTTTCAGATTAATGTCCTGGAAGCACGATTAACAAAAAATGTTTTAAAAACGTCTAAGGTCATTGAAAAGTATGTTTTTTGTTGCATATTATAAAGTAAGTCTCACTGCTTAAAATTCACTTTTATTTTATGAAAGAGGAACAGGCTCTTTCTGATGCTGTTTAAGTGAAAGCATTTTGGCAACAGAAGGAAGCAAACTGCCGCTGGTGAGGCAACCGGTAATTCTTTCTTAAAAGAATTACATGATTTAGAAGCTGTGGGTGATTTGAGCGTTTAGCATTTTAAGTCTTGCTTTCTTTTATCGGAACGTTCGTAAATTCTAGAGTGTAGTTTTTTCAATGTACAACTTTGTTCCACATGTATTGTGACCGCTATCGCGCTACAAAGCTTCAAATCACAGGGATGCATTTTCAATTTTTTCAACAAAAATTTGCATTTTAGGCCACCTGTGTCCACTCTTATCCCTATACGTCTTCCTTCGGCGCTAACCCATATTCATATCCGATCTTGCAGAATTCTGGACTCTAAATTTGATATTTGATTTTATTCCGGAATTTTCCCTTTCGGCCTTTGATGCACCAAAACGTTCCCCGGATTCCTTCAGCTGTTAAATGCTGCTTCCCCGTTCAGGTGTCAATGCTTGATAGTGCGAAACTGAAGGCTGGTAGTCATCGCAGTACTGAGGTCAAATTGCCAGCAGCACTTCACCTCTGCGCTTTATTCCCTTCGAACTGTGGTTAGCATTATTCGGCAGTTGTTAACGGCGAGATTTGGTTGAGCTTTTTTCTGGTTCATGGAAAAGGAAAGGACAAGTAAAGTGCATCAGTACGGTTGATTTTTTTAGAAACTTTTAAAGAAGAATGGAAAGACCTCTTGTAAACCGAAGAATACCGACCTGCGATTATAAACGGGTATTGAGAAGTCGAGTCAGCTTTAGGACAAGATCGTTTTATCGGAGATTTTTAGCAGCCTCCCGAGTACGGCGCGCTGTTTCAGAGCTTCTGCAAAACACTGAAGCTTTTTTCTGAGTCCGTCACTTCATGCTTTTCTCATGTTGCTTTCCGATATGCAATTCAGTTTTTTTGTCGTGCTGTGCTTCACTACACTCATTGGTCAAAAGTTGCTAGTGGTTTGTATTATTTACTCTCAGTTAAACAAAATTCCGGTCGGTGTCTCTTGTTTTGCTAGTATAATATACGCTATGTCTGACAATGCACTCCCACGCCATGGTGAGGTTCTTGAGTCAGAATTAGGGAGAAATAAGTAACATACGGGCAGATAGCGTAAATACAAGTGATTATAATATGAAGGAGGAATAAATGGGGCTTAGGTGCCCCCGTATGGTGCCGATTAGGTTTGATTGCGCGCTTCTGCAACTGCAGAAACATGATTCATAACAGCTTAATCCTAAAAAAGAAACTGCGAGTACTTTTCAGTTATTTACAATATTTTGATCATCGTCGAGCTTTCGATCCGTTTCTTACGCAGCCGGGCATAGCTGCCGACCCGTTTCAGAGTCATCCGAATCCGTGGATTTCGGATACCGTCGACTACTGGCAGCATGATAAAATGTAAGTTTTGGATAAGCGAAAATATGGATAATAATTTGAGAAAATTAAATTTTCAGGTCTTATGTCGATTTTAACGGAATATTCCGTGTCCAAGTACAACTCAAAGGTTTCAAATTTAGCCCCCAGTAATACGTTGTCTTCATGTACGGGTACTTGGAAGTTTTGGTGGGAGAATTGGTCGTTGGACAGCTAGGACATTTTCAAGGAACGACCGTTAAACGGAAATTATTCATTTTCCTTTACACAAAATTTACGAAAATTTGCGCTATTGAGCGTCCGAAGTAAGCGTAAAGCAGCAACTATTCTTGCAGTTAACGACTTGACTGCTTCGAGTTTAACGCAAAAACGCATGATCGTACCGGCTAGCCTGACGCATTCCATTCTGGAGTTTATTTTGCATCAATGATTCAAAAGTTTATAACTCGTTCCTCTTTCCCGCACTTGTGAATCCATCTCCTAAGAAGGCTGGCATTACGCGGCCATGTTTTCACGAATGTGAGCTCCTTGTTGAAATTGCTAGCGTGATTTTAATGTAATTTTGCATTCGTATTTCAGCACTGGTGATATCTCGATGCGCCGCTTGAAACTATGGGAAGAAAGCTTTGAGGAGTTGTTATGTGATCAGTTGGGCAGGGAAACGTTGCAAAAATTCTTGGATAAGGAATATTCTGGCGAAAATTTGCGCTTTTGGTGGCAGGTTTGTCTTTATGTCCTTTTTATGCGTTTTTACATGACTGCAAATGCAATCAGTGAAAACGCCCAGTGGCCTGGTTACATAGTTACCCAGTGAACAATTCTCCCGCCAAAACTTTCAAGTGTCCGTACGTGAAGACAGCGCATACCTGGGGGTAAATTTCAAACTTTTAGGTTATGCTTGGACACGGATTATTCCGTTTTGCAACCAGGCGTTTTTGCGCTAAACTTGCAAAACGTTAGCAGCAAGAATGGTCCCTGCGCTGTAGTCTAAAACCTAGTTTCATATTGTTGTGTTTTGGCCACTTTTCGCATGCAGCAGCAGCAGCAGCAGCAGCAGCAGCAGCAGCAGCAGCAGCAGCAGCAGCAGCAGCAGCAG